ACCCACAAGATCCACAATAGCCCACAGGACAAGCAAGCCTCCAAGACCGAACCTGATGCATCCCCTGCGAATGCAGAAGGTGTACACTGGGTACACCAGCAAGAGAACTCAACGCCAGACAGCACAAACACAGAGCACATGGCAGATGGGGAGAATTACAGGAAATCAGTGAACACCCAGCACTCACCAAAAGGGACACCATCATCACGAGTATCAAGCAGCTACATCCATGCTCTGTCCGTCCAGCAATGAAGGTCAGCAAACAGAAGATAGCTCTGCAAAACTTCAGCATCACCATCAGAGACATCTGTTACCCTCTACATGTACGTAGTAGCTCAAACATCCACAGACCCCCAATTGCCTTCCTCCTCCAATTTCTTAGACCTCCTCCTCCAATGTCTTCTAAGGATGTGACGTTTCATTTTGTAAATGTTTAGCAAACATTTAAAGAACCATCTCAATGTTGAGCCCTTTCACAAAGACTGATGACTGCCCATTGTGCAGACCAACATGATCGACACAATAATTTAATAATAAAAGAGTAACATAATAAAAAGAGGGCTGTCATTGAAAACAATAAAAAGATGAGCACGTAGCCTGAAAGTAATCTAGTACTGCAGTTCTCCTTAGCTTTTAGCAAATTGAATAGGTTTGAATTATTTTTGTTATGCGTGCTCAACTCAAAGGAAGATAGCGGAAAATAGGTTCCTGCTTTTAAAATTTGAGTTTTGTTAAAACCTTTGGAAAAATACGATTTAGAACTTTGTTTATTATATTAAATGTTTAAATGTGTAAATGTCACATCCATAATTTCCTCACTCCACCAATACATAGTTCCCCTTTTGCCTGTGGATTTCAGTTTAATGTTGACACTCAGCCTGCAGAGGATGAAATTACTTTTTGATATCAGATTTTATATATTTATTGAATTTGTTAAAAGCACAAGTAAATTAATGTGCACAGTTTAACTGGCTAAATTAAATGTATGATATACATCTTTTGTCAAAGTGGATTTTTGTAAATTTTCACTTACTGATTCTAATTGTTTCAGCTTCTCTTCAAAAAATGCAATGTACCCACTGACACCCTATAGTGAACATAGTTAAACAGTACAACTGCCAATGCATCAACCTTCCGCTAGAATCATTCGTGGGTTTATCTCTATCCTAAATGCTGGAGATGTTTATCATGAATTTCTTCCCGCATGTACACTTCCAGCAAGTTCTTATTAAAAAGGGGCCTATGGGTCATTCTTCAGTATCAAGTGTCTACTTTCATGTCCCGACACTTTAAGGCACTATACTTCGAAAAAATATAGAATGAAAATTAGATTTTTGAGCAGTGAAATTAACTTTAACACGACTCCTATTATGTGCAGTGTTAAAAACTCTTTAACATAATGGACAAGATGCTCATTCTTTACAATACTCCCTCAAAACCCCCTGAAAATGCATGTCCCAGTGTATTTCTCAATATGTACCTACTGCCATAATTTGTAAACAACTTGAAAAGGTAATTATACCTCCAAAAGCCAAGTAATATAATAATTGTCATTTCCGTCACAAAAGGTGTGACGGATATGACTTGTGCATTCTTTTCACAATCAATATTTCTTTGGGTCCTATTGAAAATAAAGGAACCCAGCATTAATTATTTCTTATAGAAAACTACTTCACATCACCACTATGATACAACAGAGACTTAAATAACAGAGAGAGATATGTTGCAAGGATGAATGAAGTCCCTGAAAGCCATCAGCCCTGTTTTTGGCACATAATAATTATCAATTGTCAGATTGATCTTTGATCAGGCCAATTAAATATGTTGAACACTTTCAAGTGCTTCAACATGGGGGGATGCACATATTGTGACGTACGTGAGTAACCACTAGCTTAATTGTCACTTCCTTAACATGCTCAAAATCCAAAATGTTTAAATAGGATTATGTGAAAATCTTAGATTTACGGTTTATGGAAAAGGTACGTTGATGCGATTGCAAAGCCCGCGCTTAGTGAATGCACATGATCGCAACCTTGGTAATACGATTCTGTCCCTGTTAAATACTCACGACTGACCAGGCAATGAACGTCTTGCAGTTTTTCCGGGGTTAATAAAATCGAGTTGACGGCGGACACACTGAACCAAGTACCTCACAGTCACAAATTAGCAGAGATACAACCATGAAAACATCCGGAGAAAGTGACCCAACATGGCGACGACACTTGGGAGACGGGCTTGAGTGCAGAGTCTTTTCATTGTGACATGTGCATGCAGCACTGACATGACAACAAACCGCCACATGTGAATTGTAACCATTCATTTTGCACCTGTCAGTGTCACAAAACAACACCACCTGTATGCGCCCTCACGTGGGCAATACGTCATACCTTGGGAATTTTCGTAAACATTGGTTTCGTTCGAAAGATTTGGCTTTGACTTCCAGCGATGTTATTTTGTCACTTTCGGGATATATCTTTGTTTTGCTATGAACATTTTTTTGTTGTTAACAGCCCAAATGTTATGACAGGCTTGTATCGGACATGTAATTAGTTGTGGAAATGACTACGTTACTGACTCCGAAGCTAGTCCGAAATTTCGAAAACGCCACTCTCAAAGATTTGTTTAGAGGGCGCTGTTGAAGTTACCAGTAGAAACTTTTTAACATAGACTTGGTGGCAGGATACCCCCAGAGAGATTGACCCCCGATATCAAAAATGCTACCTTAAAATGAAAAAAAGTAGAACAAAGTTCCCTAAGAACGGTGTTAAGATTATGTATGTATGTTTTTGTGTTTACGTATATGTATGATATCCTGGGCAAATAGCAGAGCTGCAGCTCAGTCCATTATTTACCAAATTGTGGTAAACGCAAGAGATGTGGCCTACAGAACCGAAATGGGCCGGATTATTTGAGGGTACTCACCTTTAAAAAAAAATTATCATACAAATTCTTAAAAAAATATACTTGTATAATGTGCGCCTGTTAAAAATACGGTACACCAGTCTGTAATCTAGTGTTACTAATCGTCGAATTTGGCCAGGCCCCCCCCCCCTTTACATTTTCTAATTTTTTGGCTGATGAACCCCCCTCCCCTGCGAAAATTCCTGGATCCGCCCCAGTACACTATTAGGTAATTTAGTGTGCACGATTGTAGGATTTTATCGGCACTCCCCTGGGCACTCCCCACTGAATATATGTACAAGAAAAGGAAGATACTTAAATTTTTTAAAGATATTTTAAAGTTGGGTTTGATTATTTTTCTTGAGTACTTTCCTTTAGCCATGATATCTACTTTTACACATTGGGAATCTGTAACCAAGAAATTAAGCGTGACCCAATGAAATAAGCCAGAGGAAAAAATGGTCAATCTTTCACACAGAATAATTTGACTAAAACAAGTAAATTGGCTCAGATCTACATGTACATGCATTTAATATAAAATTTGCCATTGAAAATACAATTTTATTAAAAGTTCAAAAGAGTTCATTTCTAACATCACGTTGCCAGAAAACTAGAACATTTATAGAATAGAAAGTCTGATTCGTTTTAAACACCGCATCCACTTTAATAATTTGCCATTGGAAATGAAAGAAGTGACTGTTAATTTTAAACCAAGTCACAAAAATCCAAAATTTACAGCACATAAATTCTGATAAGTTTAATAACTATATGGTGTGCATGTATTATAAATGACAAACACAACTACATGTACACTAAGTAGGCGAATCATATCCACATCATCTACGTTCATACCAATATCCATGACAGAAAACCTTATCGCATTTGCATAAATAAATTTGCACTTCACTGTAACTCACATTGTTTTGATGTTCAAATGTATTTCACTCTTTAGTGATGGTTATGCGTAATGACAAAAACACTTCTAAATCGTATATAAATTCTTTGGAAGTTTTGGTAACTTAAAACAAAGGGAATACAAATTCATCTTGATGTTTTATAATTACACATTGCACTCAGATGAATACATGCCTTTCATGATTGCATGTGCTGTCCAAATCTGGTCTCAGATTATCGTGATCATGACTAATCCTACATATGCAAGACTCATTTGACTATTAAAAATGTTCACATTTGATGTTTCCCGTTTACCATCAGAAGCAATGAAATGCACTTCTTGTATAATCCTAATGACTGCAACTTTCTTAAAAGGTACATATGATTATTTGCTTCTTGTGCCTTTACTTTTGTTTGAAGCAACAAAATTGCTAAAAGTCTGAAGCAGGGTGCATGACAACTAACCTGTTGAAGGTTGATCAGATAGCATACATTTTAAGAAAACCGAGGAAATACATTCACTTTTTTGGGGTGTCTTGTAACTCGATTCCATTGCTAATGCATTAATGTTAAAATGTTCCGTGGACACCCTCTTTCAACACCACCTCAGTTTTCATCCAAACGAAACAATTTCAGCTGGAATATTTTCAAAGGGTATTTGGTACCACTCCTATCTTGACTTTGAGCAGAGTTTTGTCATTAAATCAATGCTTCTCCCGGTAACTGCAAATGATTCACATGGCTCTAAGTAACAGTGTTTCAATTTTAACTGCCAATGTACATTGGTCCAGTAAATAATACTTTCAGGTACTGTTTTCACACAAAACTTGAGCCCTGCTAACGAACTCATTGCACACAGCAAGATGTGACAATAACTTGAACATTGACAAATAGTCTCTTTGGTTTCAGTAAAATAAAAAAAAATAAAAACATGTTTACATTATAAAATATGTATCTTTCATTTTAATTTAGAGCACAAAATTGCATCATGACAAGTTACAATTTATGAGTACTGATTTCAACAACGATTTATTATTATTTTTTAAAATATAGCATTGTCTGCTTATTTTGTTACAATTGTTTTATTGTAATAATGCAATATATTTTATAATGAAATAATCGTCGGTTTCCCTTTTTGGTTTATCGGGACATTTGTTTGTTTATTTTAACAAACCTTTGTTCTGATCCAGCGTAACCGGCACAAATTTGGACACCATGTATTGGTTCAGTTGAGCTTGCCATTTGGGGTCGAGATGCATGTTGAGAAGATGCCTGGTGATAGATGTCTTGAGATCCTCTGAGGAAAAAAGACCCCAAAGAATATTCAAAATGAGACGAGCAAAATGGTGGTTAATCTAAACACAGACTCAAAACGGCAGGTTCTTGCTGGCCGTTTAAAGTCTGATACTGGCAAGGGCGTAGATTGTCAGCTGGTTAGTGCGTAGATTGTTAGATTGACCTATGACGCAGGGTTCAACATTATTAAAATTTGTACAGGCATACTAAATGTCAGAATCATGAGGCCCTTGTATGTCCTCATGTACACGTGTCAGGTCAGATCTTCTGTTTAAATGGTGGTCTGACTGTCTGAGGTACTTTCCCTCTCCCACACAACAAATGTTTTTATGCAAAAGATGTATGACTTATTTGATGCAGTATTCATAAGATGGAATTTTGCGTCGGGGTGATGTAAATCAATTAGGTTTTGCCCTTCACCGACGTATTAACTGTACGTATAAACGGACAGTATAAATGGTCAGTGTGTTACCTCTCCTGAGTGAAAGTTGGAAAAAAATTACTCGGGTGGGACTCGAACCCACGACCTCCTGCTTTCTAGTGCAGATGTCTTACCACTCATCCACCGATCTAAGGGATGATTGATGTACATAGCAGCGAGTATCGCATACATAAGATGGAATTTTGCATAAGATGGAGGTTTTTTTCCAACTTTTACTCAGGAGGTAACACACTGGTATACAGTGTTTAAAAATCGGGGGGAATCCTGTGTTCAAAAGGTTCCCATGTTTGACTCATGCATGATGTCATGTTGGGTCAACCTTGACAGGGGACACGTCGCTGTTGTTCTTGGGCAAGATACATTACTACAATTACCTCTCTCCATTGAGTATATATGGGGGGTGCAGACCATATACTGCTGATCTCGAGCTTCAGCAGGAAGTGTTCTCATGGCCTGATGAACAGGGGTAATAAGTGTGAGCAATCCAGAGAGTGTGGTATAAGAGTGCTGTATAAACACTGCACTACGATCATCCAATATCTTAACATCAGCACAAGGTGTTGGGCGACAATGCGTTCAAGAGTTCCATCTAACCTTTTTCCTTAAAAGGAAGAGTTTTTGGGCAGAGAGTCCACTGTACCTACCAGGTAATTCTGAGTTGACCACCCCAGGGTAGACAGGCAAAGGCCCTCAAGAGGTGACGACATGAAGCTTGTCCCTCAGCTCAGGATGGCCCTTCATCTGTAAGGCCAGGGTGTTGGAGTCTATGCCTGTACCGTCTGCTGTCTTATTAAGGATCATCTGGATGGACTTCAGATTGGAACCTGGGCAGGATTTAAAAATTTTTACAAGATGTAAATTATCCTTTTTGGTAAGAATAATTTATGAGGAGTGCGTTCGATAACTTCCCCAGCTTACTCGCGCCTGGCTCCTCGCATAATGACAGACATGCACAGTGAAGCTAAATAACGGTTTTCGGGTAAAGTTTTGTCAAGACTGAAATAAACTGGGCATAGCCAGGATTTCTTTCTAGAGGGGAGCAAAACATATTTTCCCAAAACATTCCTGTTTTTCTCAAAATATTCTCGTTTATCATTTTTCATGGTTTTAGCGGGGGATAGTTCGGCCGTGATGCCAGCCTGTGCCGCGGTCACCTGTGCAATGGATTGCTTCAGGCGCTGCACTCTTGCCTGGAGGCAGCAGGTTGGCTCTGGTGTCGGCCAAGCTGCCTCTCCATCTTTTGGTTAGTTTTAAGACGCTCACTGTTCAATTTGCAGACGGCGGATATTGGTCGCAAGCTCTTGCTCAGCATCCTGCACAATATTTATCAGGAAATCATACAAGATATATAAAAACAATATTCATCTGCGGTTTCGCGTGTGTTGCCTTTTCTCGCGGTCGATTTTGTCTTCTTCT